ATCACCTGCACTGAGTACACCCAGTACACCCAGTGTATCAGTTGTGTCCCTTGATTCCCTTGTCTCCTTGTCGGTTCTTCATAAACTGTTGGTGAGTTGTTACATGTAGGTCCCTGCATTTTGCTCTCCAGCAAATAAAGTGCTATTGTTTTTGGAAAAGTGACGGGTCTGCGTTTGAGTCCTAATTCTCAGCTGACATTTCATACTTAGCAAACATTCGAAAAATCTTAAGAGCATATTTCACAAAATGTCAAACTTTTTGACGCACTAAAAGCGTGATAATCATAAGCTGGACCGAGGCAACGGCATCTACTTTATGACGGCATCTAGTTTTCGTCTCAAAGCTGACCCCCCCCCACCCCCCCGGTCTCCCTTTGTGTGGCTGACTGACAGGAGGGCAGCCATAAGCTGAACCACACACTTCAGCTACAGTCAGCTACAGCAGGAGGAGCAGGAGGAGGAGGAGCAAGAGGAGGAGGAGGGCGTAGGGGGGGACACGTGAGTTGAGGTATGCAGCACTAGATACTGCATCAGTGACAAGAGCACGTTTGGGCATCAGATGAAGCTATTTCAGGAAGAAACTGTCAATGTGTCTCAAAAGGCCTGCCAGCAGAAGTGATCAGAGAAGACCTACATCACGCTTCAGACTGGGATGTAAGATACGGCTGGTTTTGTACTTTTTAAAGAGACTGTGAGCTGTCCACACCCGAGAGAGAGAGAGAGAGGGAGAGAGACAGAGAGAGAGAGAGAGAGAGAGAGAGAGAGCGAGGCCAGTTGAGCTCAGTGGAGACTTACACGTGGTTTCAGATTCCATGTTAGTTACTCAACTACTGTAGCCTTGAGTGCTATATTTGCTCGTGCACCTAATCCTTGTCTTTCCCATCAGAAACCGAAGCCGTCCTGCAGAATCCGATATGCGATTTTGACTCATGGAGCTGGATTCAGTGTTTGGGTCAGAGGTGGGGGGGGTTGGGATCATTAGATAGTCTATGGTGCGCTCAATAACATTAACAGTGTGTAAGAAAGCTGACTGCTCTCCCCAAAACATGTTTTACTGTGCAAAGAATAAAATGATATCTACTATCACACCATTTCTCTCACAACGAGGGGTCGGTGCGTCCAACTTTGCACAACTTGCTAGGAAGTCTGAATCAAACCTTGACACGGCGAGTTAAGCCCTTGTGATTATGTCAAAACAGACATAATGCAGCTTCTACATGTTCATGTAGCACAGAGGTATCTAGAGCAGGTCTCTAAACTTCCACAAATCAGTCAGCTGCTGGTAGTCTATAGACAAAGCGAGCCAGCTCAACACTGTGCTTTACTGTTTTATGGGATTTTCTGTCACACAGTAAAAATGTCCAATGGATCGCAGTACTGTGGTTTTACCCATAATACACACAGTACATGGTAATGGTATGCTAGGCTGCTGTTATGTATTGTCCTCCTTATGTTTGCCTTTCTGGTGTTGCTATTACAAAGCCCCCTGCATCTGAGCTTTTGACATATATATATATAAAGCAAATTTAGAAAACAATAAATGTTTACCAAAGTGCTTTATAAATCCATTCTATCAATATCAAGATGCTCTATGCTTTTATTTATTATAAGTGTGAATGAAGGCATCTTAGAAAGATCATGACAAAAATAGCACTCCACAAAAAGAAAATACTAGTGTTGCAAGAGATTTCTTATTGGTGATACTTGACCTTTCGCTAGTCCCGCCCCTTGAAGCCATACCGACCAAATCATAGCGTATATCAGGCAGCATCGAAAAAGGGCCGTCCCCGCTCCCAAGACTCTCACGTGTTACAAATTCTCTTCATTCCAGGATGGTTTAGTGAACTATAATTAACATGTCAATGTTACACTAGCTACTGTAAGAACACTGAACGTATTCACCTGCTGCTTTTTATCCTTCTCATGCAGCAGTGAACAAAGACCTACATGACTAAAGAAAGAGAGTTGTTCTTTGAATCAATGGCCTTCTGTCTGGAACTCCATGTGAGGATCTTTATCTTTTTAACCCTTTCATTGCAGCGGAATCAGTTTGAAGTCTGCGATATATCCTTCTTATTATATACTTCTCTCTCTGCTTTCTCAGGATTATATTCAATTTGCAAAGTGAGTGACAGTGCGGGCTCCATGGTAACGCAGCTCTGAATGTCCTTTACGGAGTAGCAGCAGGGGCGGGTCTTAGCCAAGGATCAATTAAGAGGCTAAACAAAGGTGATTAGTTATGAGGGGGCCTAGTTAGAAAATATTCTGTAATTTAGGGACAACAAAAAATCTTGACCTTTAGTTTTTAATCAGGTGCTTGGAATGAAGAGCAATGATTGCTTAGCAGATCTGAGAGGGGGGTGGAATATGAAAATGAGCAGATCAGAGAGATAAGCTGATGCCAGTCCATGCAGTGCTCTAAACAAAGCAAAGAGGATAGAGGGAGACGGAGAGGTTTACCTCCAGCAGGCTACTTCACGCCTTTCAAACATGTAATACATCCCCAAATATCAGAATAAACAACCGTACCAAACTGTCTTTAAGAACAGACAAGGCTCCGCTATGAACTTTCTCCAACCCAAATGCAGGTTTTACAGTATAATAGTGAATTAAATGACAAAAGTATCACTCTGATATGGGAATGCTGACATTATTCGATAGGGGTTTGTAGAGAAGTGGGCGTTCGAGGAGCGGACCTGTGATTGGCTGGCTGAGCGTGGAATAGGTTTGGGATTGGTTGCGCTCAGGGTGTGCGTCTGCAGACACGCCTCTTACCCCAACCCATCTATAAGCTGCAGTTACTTCTGTCTCAAATGAAATTCTTCTACAGTACCCTCACTTGCACATCTCCAGTCTGATCCCCGAACAGGAGTGCTGCTCGGTCGTAGCTCATTCAACATCTGCCCACATCACTGCATCCACCCAATGAAGCACAGAGTGAGCTGTGGCTGAAGGAGCGGGGATATGGGCCGATATGCAGCTGTTGTCATTTTGCAGTGGGGTAAAATGAAAAAACAAATATTTCACTGAAAATTCTGCTGAGGTGGGAGATGTAATAAGCATACAAGCAGACATACGGATTGTATGGAAATGTTAAATCTGTGCTCCAACAAGTTGTAATATTTGAATGTAGGCTTCCTGTTGTGAAAGAATATTGATGAAAAGCGAAACATTTCTGGGGGGTTTTCATGATTACTTCTGGTCGTGGATTTTGTCCTTCCGAGTATTAGTCTGGTGGATAAATCCAAATAAATGTGAGGAAATTAGCAGAGGTGGTGACAGAAAGAAAGACCTGTGCTCTGTGGTGCTGTGGACATTGTGAGGCTTCGGGTTGCCACAGTGGGTCTACTGTGACACCACACACTGTGCAGCGTCTAATTAGGCTGTGTTTCTCGCAGTGTCTCTGGGTTCTGCTGTGTGTGTGTGTGTGTGTGTGTTAGTACGGGGTGATTCAGCTCATAAGTGGGTATCTCCTCTCCTGAGTTTATCCTTGACTAGAAAATGTGTTTTAGACGGAAGCCTGATTGCAACAGCACAGTCATAAATAAATGACTTGATCATTTTAGTGTGTCACGAAGGTAAAAATAGAAAATCCCGTTGTTAGTTCTTCTGAGCTACTTCCTTTTAGGATTCAACATTGTTCACAAACCAGTGGTTTGCATGGAAATTATGTTGATTTGGCAGAATTTTAAAATGGAAAAAGGTCTTTGTTTTGAAAGTTTTTGTCCGCGTATTCACTCAACAGAGAGGATTGAACCCCAGAACATTTACCCACAGTTAAGATTCCCCTCTTTGTAGTAGCAGCAGAAATCACTTCCTGTCTGTATACTACCATGTTTGACACAGGACAAGCTCCAACACCAGCAAAAAGCAGTGCAGTACTTTAAATAGTGAAAAGACAGATGGAACGGATAAATGAGAGGATTTGCCATGAAGCCTTAGGAAGTAGGTTAAAAGTACGGAGACCTCAACCTTTTCATCTAGATATGTATAATAATCTAAAATCACGGTGCCAGAGTTTATGTTATTTAAACTGAGGAGCTGATCCTGATTCCAAACCTTTTCACTTTACACTTGCAAAGAAAATGGGTCAATTCAAGACTTATTTTTTCTCACCCTATCGGTGAGAAATGTGAGGGAGAAGAGAAAAAGAGCACAGCCCTCACCTTCATCACACTGTTGTTTTTTTCTTGTGTCAGCGTCAGATTGTTAATTTATTAAAGCTATTCTGATGACAATAATTTAAACGTTTCTCACAAGCCAGACGCGGCCCCTGGTGTTAGCCACCACTCACAGAAATAAAGTTTCTGTCGTTTTGTTGTTGTATAGCAAGAAAAATGAAACACAACTGCAGGTATCAACTTGAAACAAGTTGAGATATTTGAACAGTTCCCACCACCCACAGACGGTCTCTGCAGTCCACACTGTGATATAACACAGAATATTGTCTGTAGACAAAGATTCATCGTGTAGACGAGGTTCATAAGCCCTGATTCACACAGCGCGTTGTTAGCAACGACCCCTCTTTGTGACACATGAGCTTCTACACACTGGCTTCTAGGCCACTTAATGATGACGGGATGCAGATCTTGCTGAGGTCCAGGCGTCAGGGAAGAGTCGGTATCCTCGGCTCATCACTGCTTGTCTAAGCAACCTGCTGTTCGGAACTTAAGCCCGGGTTTAACTTCGGGTTCAACTATGTCTCTCTCTCACACACACACACACACACACACGCACACACACACACACACACACACACACACACACACACACCAACGTGCACACGCGCGCTCCCTGTCACGCTTTTTTATTTCATTACGGTTGACGGGACCGAGGAGTCAACCAGATCGCGCATATGTGAGCACGCTGACACAACACACAGACGGAACACGTGCACGCGCCGCCGAAGGCTGCCTCCTTCCATCGCCATGGCAGCTCCGGTGGCCCTCGCGGCGCGGTGTGAGTGCACGGCAGGTGTAACGGGAAAGCCTTCAACTTACCGCAGTCCTCGCACAACACTCTCTCCACATCCTTCAGATCCGGCTCGCTGGCGTCCACGGGGGCGTACGATGCCTTGAATACCAAGGGCTCCGCGGTGGGGTCCATGAAAAAGATATATCTGTGGTCCTTCTCCACCGCGGTGCACGGGGCCTCGGAACCGAAGTCCCCGACGGTCACGAGCTGCTCCCTCTCGAGGCCCCCGCTGTTGACGGGCCACACGTCCAGCACTTTGACATTCACACTGTAAGGCTCCCGGGAGGAGGCGTTCTGCGGGGAGGAGCGCACCTCGCCCTCGATGACCACGGCTGCTCGGTACGCCTGGTCCTGGAGGGAGTTGAGACTCGGGGCGTAGCAGGCGAAGGAGACCCCGATGACCAGCATGGAGAAATGCACTGGATCAAGCCTCATGCCGTCAGCCTGTGCTGTGCTGCAGTGCTGCTGGGCGGCGGAGCGAGCTGGAAGAGAGAGACGGCGGCGAACGGGCTCCGGCAGAGCAGGCAGGGCAGAGCGGCAGACCTTGTGGAAGTGTCCATGCCATCTGTGTCTGCCGCTGCTTTCCCCATACGGCTGCTGGCCTCGGATGGGGGAGAAACACCAGCCTAGGAACCGGAAACGGCCCGCTTCTGCATGCTTAAAAATGTGATTGCTGCATTTTCCTACACCAACCAACCAACCGCCCCCCCCGCCCCCCCTCCCCCTTATCTCCCCTTTTCCTGAAAGGCAAAACAAGACTCGTAAATTAGCCTCCTCTCGATTCCAGGGCAGAAACCTCTCTCCCTCCCTCTCTCTTCCTCTCTCCCCCTCTCTCTCTCCTCTCTCCAGCTAATAGGCTAGCATCGCATGGGTGGGCGCATTGCCTCTCTGAATAAAAAAAAGCCGCTTGCGCGTACAGGGGGAATCAAAAGAAACGGTACGCACTCCACGCACACACAAGGTCGGGTCCTTTATCCACTTATTTCGATCTTTAAAAGAGTCCCAATCCCGAAAACCCGTTAGTTGGTATGAAAAATGACAAACAAACCAAAAAAAAGAGAGAAGAAAAACAGAACAAAAAGCCGAGGAGGAAACAACGGGATGAAATAGCAGCGGTTATCCGGTGAGGCGATGCAACAGTGGCGCGCACCTTCCAGCCGCGTCCCCTGCGCCTCTCCTCAAACGCGAGAGGCTGACGTGAGCAAACATCACCTGCCGGATCACTGGCGTCGGCTCGCCACGTCCTGCGCAAACACCCTAATGACCCGGGCACCCAGCGCACACCGCCACCGACCCAGCCGGCATGTGACCATGCCGCTCGGCCGTGCTAAACCGCTGCGGCTCGGAGAAATCACGCACGCAGTGTAGAGACGCGGAGCGCAGAGAGAACGTCTGTATAGCCAAGCCCACTTGTGCGCTGTGGATCCCGGTGGAAAGCGGTACAAGAGAGGCTATAGGCGACCACTACACACACACTGCGGGTAGTTGTTGCGATGACTAACGCTGCGAATTTCCCTCAATGGATATTCGTCGGCATGGCGAGCCGGAGTTCCCGTGACTTTAGCGTTAAATGTCCTCCGCCATCTCGCTGCGCGCGGAAGGAGAGCGCAGCCAAAACCTGACATGCCCCCCCCCCCCCTTATTATTCCTATTCACTGCAGTTCTTGGGAAACTGAGCAGTTTAAGGACTCCAAGGCAACAAGTGGGGGCATCATCTACCCCAACCTGTGGGTGTCAGGCTGTAACGACGTTCGACCAGAATAGTCTGCCAAACCTGCTTAGCTACAGTTAATAAAACCACCTTTTTCATTGAATGCACCTCCACCAATGAAAAGAGTTTGCTCAGGCTTTTTATGGCGAAGTCCCTGCCTCCATCTCTATATCCATCAATCAAACCATTCATAAGATTTGTCTTTCCCTCCCTGTCCAAGGGTCTGCGCCCTTCGCCAGAGGTCAGAAAGCCTTTCATTGTCCATGCTGAGAAATGGATCAAATAGGATGTCATATAGGGGCCACATATGCAGGGTTTCTTTTCTATATAGACGACTTGGATGATAAAGGGTTGTCGTGGCACAGGGGGTAGAGCGGGTGCACTGGAAACCGCAAGGTTGGTGGTTTGAGTGAGCCCGGGCAAAAATGTAAAAAAGCCATGGGTTTAAAGTGTAATATGCTTTGGATAAAATCATCTGCTAAATGACCTGGAATGTAATAAAGAAAATGTATAAAGAGGCCATTTCATGGACCTTTTCCAACCGCTTCTCCATCATGAGCCGGTCTATGTCCATGTGCTGAAAGGCTTGACGGTTTCAGTGCTCTGTCCCAACAGGGCATTCACACAGCACCTCATTAGGACTGAAGGCCCCAGCCAGGTTGCTTAGATGAAGGTTGGTCTCCGTGTTCACTGATACTAACCATATTCATTTAAAAAAAGTAAAAGGTGAAGTTGTCCCATGTAATGTCCATGCTATATGCTAATCAAAAGTGACGATTTGTCTTTTTTTTCCTGTTAAATGTTGACAGTTCCACATCAGGATTGCTTCTCCAATTCGGGGATCCCAAAATTTTTTAGGAGGAAGCTTTTCAAAGTGTGTGATCCGTCCCATACACCTTTCACCCTCACGGCCCATTCATGCACCGATCTGCCCCCCCCCCCCCCCCCTTCGGTCGTTCATCTAGTTGTGCCTTCGTTAGACACCCCGTTCAATGGCCTCACATACACAATTTAAGAATTTCTAAATTAGCCTTGAAAGCGAATCATTGACAAGGCAAAGGGGAGTAGCAAATGATTCCCGCTAACTAACCCAGGGAGGACTGCCAGCAATTACCTCCACAGTTCCCCTGACACTCGTGCACAGCCTGTGGGAATTATAAGAGGGCTGTCTTTCATAATGCCGAAGCCTTTCAGCGGCTGTTATTGGCTTGACATACGGTTGCATTCCAAGCAACTTCACTCTGAGGCGAATGCTCGATATGATGTTAAAATATTATATAACAGTTATAGAATTTGTCTTTGTATACTCATTTCCTTTTGGCAGTCCTCTTTCCCTCATTTTATATTCACGAGCAATACTCAAGAGCAAACCCAAATCCAAAATGATGCGCACATGGTTTCTAAAAACAAACAGCAAATTATCACCCACAATGGAAACGACTGGTGTGCTAAAGATTATTAGGACAATTCCATGTCCACGTTAACACTGAGGTTTTTTGCTGTCTGATCAAACATACTGTATATTTGAAGGGAAATGGATGTTAGGAAATGCAGAAAGTAATGCTTAACTATTTGAAAATAATTTTGTTGGCTTATTATCATCATTATTGTCATTGACCGAGAGGGTTGCACACACACATACACACACATCGACGACCCTCAATTAGAAAATCTCCCAGTAGTTTTTCTTCACCTGATTCTCCTGATTGTAATATTTTTAAACATATTTAAAATGTCACATATCTCCTGAAAAAGGCTGATCCACAGAAAATGCAGTAACAATTTTAGGCATGTGGTGTAGTGCTCTTATTCCATTTTGTTTCCCCACTTTATCCGATTGAGCTGTTATCCTATAAAAATCAAATAACCCACATAATTTGTCTACTTCAGGTTTCCATCACTCTGGGCCGATGGAAGGCTGAACACCTCATAACTTCTATGTTGTTTTTTTAACGGCCGTTAAATGTGGGGTTCAGCAGAACTTAAATAAACTACAAAAGCATGTGCTCAAACACAACAGAATCGATTGTAATATGTAGCTCACAGGAATCTATATTCAATTCAATATCTATATAATAGATTATATGTATTATATAAATTATATATAATTCAAGAAGTTTTTTTTTAATTCAAGATTATTATTTTTTTGACATGCTGATTAAATTTCTGACCTGCTGATTATCCATGATTGTTTTCTATCAAACCTTTTTTGCTACATTCTACACAAACCCTTTTAACGGGCTTTGACAAACAGTGGCAGGCAAGCAGGTCCAATCACAGGGTAATGATTCATGGTGCTGGTGTGTCGGCCCCCTCCCTCACACTCCTACACATCGATCATACTGTTCATTCAGAAATTTCTCTTTCACTCCTCTCTCCCTATAAGGATATCCCCGCCTTTGTCTCCTGCCACCTGACCTGTTCGGGTTCGCTGTCCGTGGTCCTGAAACACCCACAGGGCAATAATCATCATGCATGACTCCCGTTAACGCTTCTTAGACAGGATTCAGACAGCTGTGACCTTTGCGCACATCTACCCATCTTTCTATCCACCCAGCCTTCTATATTGATGTTAGTGCTGCAGTGTTTTAGGCTCACGTGGGGGGGAGAGGGTGGGGGGGCACTTTCTGATGCTTTTTTTTTACGCTGAAGGGAGAATCCCGTCAAACAGCGCGAGCGTCTTGAACGCAGCCCGTTTGCAGTACTACAGTCAAACTACAGCCACAGTTACTTTCATTTTTTCAGCCTCTCCTCTCTTCTCGTCTCGCGATAGAGCGGCGCAGCGGTTTGACGGGCAGTCGAGGTTGCAGCAGGCAGAGGGAGACGGTGGAAGGCAAAGCAGGGAGGCAGCATCATGGCGGACAGAGACAGTGGCAGTGACCACGGAGGGCCCACCGCGGGCCCCGGCTCGTTGCCCCCGGGTGCGATGGGCGCCATGTCGCGCCTGCAGCACGACACGGAGGAGCTCGCCTCCAAGCGCGTCGACATCCAGAACAAGCGCTTCTACCTCGACGTGAAGCAGAATGTTAAAGGCCGCTTCCTAAAGATAGCCGAGGTCGGGGCTGGGGGAAACAAGAGCCGCCTCACTCTCTCCATGTCGGTCGCCGTGGAGTTCCGCGATTATCTCGGGGACTTTATCGAACACTACGCCCAGCTGGGCCCGACCAACCCGGACATAGTGCAGGATGAGCCCCGGCGGGCGCTCAAGAGCGAATTCCTGGTGCGGGAGAATCGGAAATATTACATGGATCTGAAAGAGAACCAGAGGGGGCGGTTCCTAAGGATCCGGCAGACCGTTAATCGGGGGCCCGGATTGGGAAGCGCGCAAGGCCAGACCATCGCTCTGCCGGCGCAGGGTCTCATCGAGTTCCGCGACGCTTTGGCCAAACTCATCGACGACTACGGCGTGGACGAGGAGCCCGCGGAGCTCCCGGAGGGCACCTCGCTTACGGTCGACAACAAGCGCTTCTTCTTCGACGTGGGCTCCAACAAGTACGGCGTCTTCATGCGCGTCAGCGAGGTGAAGCCCACGTACCGGAACTCCATCACGGTTCCGTGCAAAGTGTGGTCCAAATTCGGCAACACCTTCTGTAAATACGCGGAGGAGATGAGGAAGATCCAGGAGAGGAATAGAGAGAAACGGGCCTCCGAACTGCTACCGGAGGGCCCGCACGGAGCGGGAGACGACGGCGAGGACGACTGACGCGGAACAACAAAGACTAAACTGAACTCTGAGAGAAAAGGAGACTATTAACTGTATAATAGAAAGAGAATTTCCAAGGGAATCACCCCAAACACACAACCTCCACAGACATGGCAGCATGTCTGCTGTCTCCTCGCTCATTTTACTGGATGTCCCCCCCCCCCCCCCTACACTTACCACCATGTAACAGTAAGCCGCTGCTATCAAGGATCGAACTGTAAGATATGAACTGTTTCCTACTTGATTTAAATGACAATGAACAGAGTGTTTATATCTCAAATGACAGATTTGCACACATCAAAGCTATTTCGAAAAGATAATGTTTAATTTTTTTCACCCTGGTGAAATACTGAGATTGAATCAAAAGTAAAAGCAGAGGTATATTATATAGAATGACAGTCTTCATGTAGAACGAATATTTGACATCAGCACAAAGAGAATATATTATGGAATTTATGAAACCAAAATCTGAGACCAGTTGTATAGTTTATTTTAAAGGTACGCAGAGTAAATATGAAAGCGCTCTAAACGTGTATGAATTGCAGAACGCAGCACTACAGGCCTGTAAACACCTGTCAGCATGTGTGCAGGCCCGCGTTTTGAAAAGAAGTTTGGCAGAGTAGGCTTTAGACTTTTATCTGACCTAAAGCCTGCAGGTGTTTCTATCATGCCATTAAGGAAAGGTTTGGAACCAAAGTAAAAAGCCTATTCTGCAGGTCTCAAACAAATGGCATAAATCTATATCTGAGCTATTGAATATCAACCCTTTTGCACCATGCCCATATAAACTTAATCAAAAAAAAGTGCTAACTTAGATGTACTAATTATGATTTTGTGAATCAGCTGTAAAAAGAAAAAAAAACTCCTTAAGATTCCCACGTTTTCTGTGGGTTAAGTTTTTTTCTTTGTTACCTTGTTGTTTTTCCCTCTGGGGGAGGGTGGGGGATGCAAAAGAATAAGGTCCACCTGTGGGAGCGCAAGGCGCGGAAACAAAAAAATATATAAAAAACACGCGTCTGCGCGTGGCGAGGCAACTCTTCCTCTCTGACGTCATTACGACCCGTGCCTTATACACTCCACTCGTTTACGTGTTCTCACGTGGATGGTCCGTGACCTCGACCTCTGTATGTTTTTATTTACGAGTGCTGTTATGTCGGCCCCAATTCTATCCTCGCCAGGGCTGGAGCGTTGGGTGGCAAGACCGAGCCGAAAGGCTGCTGGGAGCTCGGAGGCGGTGTGCAGAAACCGAGCTCCGAGCTGGAGCGGGCCCTTCACAAAAATACGGTGTGTTACTGTACACTTTGGAAACTAGGGATGGGGGTGAGGGGTCGGCGGGGAAGTTGCATCATGCCCTCGGTAGAGTAGAACAGGAGAGCGTACCACTGGGCTTCGGCGTGGGGATTCATCGGGGCCAGTAGGGGTGGTTTTTGCACACCATTTGCACCATGTTTTAAAAAAAAAAAAGCAAAAACAGCGACAACAACTAGAAAACATGTTAAATCGGGAGTGGCTGGGTGAGGCTATCCGTCAGAGCTGAGCTGGATGCTGTTGAAGAGTCAGGCACGCTGCCAGCCAGGTCAGCCAGGTCGGCCAGGTCGGCCAGCCGGCCGCACCATGCCGTGGAGTCTGAGTGCAGCTTAGAGGACGTGGAGGCCGATCGGTGCAGGGCCAAGGCAGTATCTATCCCTTTATGGTGCTACAGCCCCTCGATCGCTCCTTGGGGGCCTCGCCACTCAGAATATGTTACTTTTGCATTATTTTTCTCCTGAAAGTTCTTTTTTCCACATTATGTTGTCCAGAACCAGTCGGGTGTCTCCCTTTCCGGGCAGAGAGGAGGCGACCGACTAGTGCAGGACGTCTCATATTAGTGTGCAATATTGTGTGCGTGCCAATCGCGGCACTGCGTCACCTGTATAGACTATTAATAGACGGAAAAAATGTATAGGCTGTGTGATCGGTATATATTTGAACGCATGACAAAGAGGTTGATGCATCATTATATTTCCAAAATGTGAAGTCTTTCTTCTCTTGCACTTTGATCAAAGTGAAAAAAAAGTTCAGACTCGTAGTGAGATATTTTTCCTGTCATGTTCTGTAAACCAGTCGGCTGCCCTGTCGGCGTATCAGTGCACGTTTTACGTCTCTCTACGGGGTCACACCGGAGAAAAAAAACTTTCCCTCCTCGTTCCTCTCCAACACACACACACACACACACACAGCGCAGACAGTCAACAGCCCTGTGTCCATGTCCTCTGCCCTGCAGGGACCCACACTGGAGTAGAGAGCTATCTTGGGTCCGGCCGACACACACACCTCCATAGGCTCCCCGTCGAGGCCCCTTGTCGCTATTTGGATGTTTGCGAGGCCTCTAAAGGATCTGGAATGGTTTTAGGACTGCACAAGGCCTCCTGTCATGAGTAGCCAGGAAACTGTTTGTTGGGAGCCTGAGTGCGACTTGGGACTGCCTATCACAGGACAGGTGAACTACGATTTGGACTTTTCCTCGTCTGCGGTTTCAGATGAGCAAGGCGACGGTCACCGGCCAACAAACGGGCCCAAAGCACAGAGGAGTTTGTTGTTTTTACAACGAGGATCTCACAACCCTTCCTTCTTGTGGGTAGTCTGATATTATGTATGCTCCTCTTCTTAAGCTCATGACTCAAAGTGTGAAAGAAAAGGCCCTGGCTCATTGTCCCTGCGGTAATGAGGTAACACTTGAGGTGCTAGTTCACTAATACCAATGAGCTCTGTGGATGGTTCACCTATCAGCTTTAGTTAAAGCAGGGTGGCCTTGGACGCGACGACTGGGCCTGCTCACAGGTGCTGCTGCGGGGGCGTGAAGGGAAAACAGGCTGTGGATTGCAGTGTTGGGGGCCTCAGCTGGACAAACGCTGGCAATGTAGTTACGGCCCGGGCCTGCCAGACATGTGTGATAGCTGAGGTTACGCTGACGCAGGATTAGCCGTTCTGATCAGGAGGCCGATTGAATCATTTGCTTTTGAAAGGTTGATCCGTGTTAGATTTTTAATGCCGGCAGAAAATTGTTCCACGCAGGACGTTTCGGCCCAGGTTTGTCTCTGAGTGTTGGTGAAAGGCCCGATGAAGCCTGGCATTGTTCACTGTTGGGGCCTACCAGCAGCAGCCTACCAGGACCCACTGAGCCGACTTAGGCCTTGTCTTTTTGTTTTGGAGAAGAACAGGGAGTCTTTGTGTAAGTCCTCTCACAGGGATGACTGCTTTTCCTCACACTGCCCTTTTGAATGATAAAAAGCCCATTTCCATTAAACACACATACCCATGTCAGCAAGCAACGGACACCTGAGGTCGAGCTGAGCTCATCCTGAGTTCAACATGAATCTGGACCCTCTGTTGTGATACAGCACTTTTCCCCCTAAAGTGTTAGCTAGCTTCACCTTGATTGAATCCAGGCCTCCGGGAGGCTTGTGCTTCACGAACACTAGAAATACAACACTTTTTTATTTCACGGCCAAACATAAGAAGAGCCTGAACCTGCTCATAGAGTTCACTTTGTGAGTGCCTCCTTCTGTGAAACGCACTTATTTTTGGAGAGATTAAAAAGCGTGTTGTTGAGTTACCGAGTGTAATCACCAGGTGATGCTGGGTCAGATGTGCTTATACCTCTGCAGGGGGACTCTGTGGTGAAATGTGACTGCTGCATTTTGGGTTGTAGTTCTATTAAGTTACAGGCAAAAGAGGCTCTTGTGATTTTGCTGACACCAAGTTTGATCCAATCAGATTTCTCTGTTCATGAGAGCTGACCCGGTGTCGTGACAGAATCTGGAGTGACCTTGCAGCCATGTTGTCCCCCCCCCCCCGTTACTCAAATGCAAAATGGTAGTCAGATTTATTCGTCTTGTTTTCTGCGTACGGCGTCAGCGGTCAAGCTGTGTGCTGTCCTCAGTGGCTCTGTCCAGTGAACATTGGCGATGGTACACTGAAGCTGTTAGATAAGAACGATGTTCTATTTTACCACACGGCGGCAGCCATCGTAGCAATCCTTAATCATGATGTAATGCTGCCTTTTGTGTCTTTATTAATGCAGTGTTTTGTCAAATTGTATTTAAATGAGCTTATTTTTCGGTGCTCTAACGCCACGCTACCAGACCATTCCTGACACGTTTTAACAGATAGAAGTCAAGTTGGAAGTAATTCAAAAGTGCAGCCGTAACTACTTGTTGCATGTCCCTCAAAGTCAGATTGCTATGATGGCCCCGGCCGCTTCTTCCTCCGGCCTTTGAGGGTGAAGATTATTCATGTTTCTGACTGCGTTCAAAACAGCTGCATGTACATGAGAGAAAACGGCAAACGTCCACTATTACAAAGCTAAAACAGGCCGGACTCCCAGAAAACCAAACGTGCTCGGTTTCTGGTTTCAGTGTCGTATTCTCTCATTGGTTCCTGGCTGACCACCCAGCCAATCGCAGCCGCTGGTCAAAGCCAAGCAGTGTATGACTCATCACAAACCCGCGGACAGCGGAGCTTATTCTGCACGTCCTCTTTTATGCTCACGCACCGATTAGCAGGGTCCATCATGTTTGCAGACTGCATAGGCTGCTGCTGTGGGAAGTTACAGGCTTTCAACTTTGTCTTTGCAGACGTTGGGAACTGGATCCTGGGTTTTAAAGGGTGGGGTCAATGCACAATGATCATATCCCATGTCACCGTTTGGTCTAAATCCCTTTACCATCCCCATATGAGATAATATGTATGTATCTTTCAAAAATATTTTATCTGTGGCGTGTGTGTGTGTGTGTGTGTGTGTGTGTATGTATATATATATATGTATGTATATATATATATTTATCTATACACACATATAGATATATATGGTTTGTTATATATGATGCTCCTCCTTTCAGAAAAATATAACATGTATACAGGAAAAACATATTGCTGTTTATTTCCTTTGTATTTTATACTTACAGAAAGCATTGAATAAAAATGGATAAATACTTGCACTTTAGATATATTAAGAAAAATAAAGATTCTGCATATTATTTTTGATAGGGATCTCACATTCAAAGAGTATAAATTAAAGGCTTTGTGACTATTGCTGGACAGAGATGTATTGAGTTCTACTTATTGATTATATTTTGTCTGTGTGTCAGAAGGTTTACTAAAGTAAGTTGCATGATAAAGTAGTGCTACACCGATGGTGTTCTTTTTTTAGTTGGTAAAATTGTCTGAAAACTGTGATAACAACCCTCTTGTATCATGATTATCCTCTCCTCACCCCTCCTAGAATATTTCTTATTGAAATATGGCCTTTCCTGACTACATGACGATGGTGCTTACTTTGGCTTTGACATCAAGCTCATCCTATACATCTCAGAACATAACTCACGTCCTTACACTTCATTACTTTCTTTTATGTACTATCACTACCTTATTAAATTTATGTTGATGGCAAAAAAAAGAAGTGTGCTGTTTTGTACATTGCTGTTTGTTTTAATGTTGGGGGAGCCTTGTTGTCTGAAAAATGACTAATCGCGCAATAAAAGGTCATTCCACACGTCTCTGGTCTCTGCACAATTGTCTTGAAAACGGTTCATCGACCTTTGAAATATCCATCATCTGTTGACCAAATATTGCCAAATCTTAAACCAGTTATTCACATCTGCATGCTAATTACACTATTTCACTGTCTAGATGCATACAGCATACAGCACATGCATGGGATGCTTATTCAAGCTTGATTCATCACTTTTACCTGAAATCATTTAAATCTTTTGAGGAGTTGTATGCTTAGGAAGCACAACTGCACACTGAGGGTAGCAGCGTCGGATGATACAGAGATTCTAAACAACCGCTCCAGACGTCTGCTTTTGACTTCCACGTGGATATTTGAGGTAAGAGTAGCAGATTGTTGCCACAGCGGGAACGGGGGCCTGCTGGTGACAGAACAGTATTAAAACGAAGCTTAGCCAAAGTCCAGTCGGGGAGACTTTCTTTATGCTCTTCATACATTTGCAAGTGAAACCGAACAGATCTTACGGTGAAACTTGAGCACTTCTCCACGGCGTGAGTTGTTGTTTCAGGTGAACCGATTGGACCCCCAATGGCGTCTCTACATCCTAAAAACACTGCGTCAAGACGGGTTGCCAAACTCCCTTCATATTCCACTTTATTGTGCAGCATTTAACGCGTTTTTGTTTCACTCTAAATGAAGTCAGTAGCCCAATGTTTCATGGGCTAACTTGGCCTCACTTAACACCGGTTTAGCCTAAACGTGGATGTGCAGTGTGACTCACAGCTACTAACTCAAGATGTTCCTCCTCTAGAATGACTCTTAAATAGATTTTATTTTAAATCTAAAGTTTACTAAAGTCCCGCTTCACACTGGCAGCTTTAAGCACAGTGTTTAATGGATTATGAGGAGGTAACTGAGCAAACTGGAGGCGACGCCATCAGCGCTTGGCTAAAGTGGAGAATGTGAGGAACGTTGAAACAAAACATTAGGCTAAGAGTGTCATACAGTCACCATAACATAATTGGATTATTCATATTAGTGACTAGACACTAATTAGTAATTAAAAAAGCTTCAAGCAACGACTTGTCCAACACGTAGCCGGAGGGTGTTTGCATATTGCTCATTTTCATTTGAATAGTCCAGTCCTTCTCTGCTGAGGTGTCTGGGCTTTGTGCAGTCATCTGGTTCATATCCAACTGATGCAATTACAGTCTCGGGGTAGCTGGATAATAGCATATTAGATTTGAGCACATTTTGGCCGTATTCATTGGCTCACAGTTTGTGTTGTGCTGTTTTAACCTTTTAAAGTGAAAGGCGCGAACAAGACTTTGTGCTGATGGGAGAATATCTTTTGGTGGAAAGCTGGCATTGACCACACAAAGCATGTTTTCTTGGCAGGGAAAAAATAGTCGTTGATGTAAAACAGGGATGTCATAGCTGGAGAACCAGAGGTGTTACCAGTGGCGCCTGGTGGATTTATTTTTTGGTAGGTTCAGTCAATCAGTGTCAGTAAACATCCCAGTATGATTCAATGCAAAAAGTTTCAAACACGCATTATTACATTGCAGTTAAATATGTAATGTGTATATATATATATATATATATATATATATATAAAACAATATTGAGTATATGATATACCTACCATATCGTAACTATTATAAGTATACCATATAAATATCATGAATATCATATAATAAATATATTATATTAAAGGATAAATATATTTATATAAAATCTATTAGAACATGAAATATATATATATGAATATAATAATTTTTGTTTTTATTATATTAAAAATACATTGTACAAATAGTCAATATTTGCGTTTTTGAAACGTGGATTATATACCCAGTAGTATTTGTAAATTAAGATATCTGCGGAAAATGTGTTTTTTCCTGCGAGTCAAAATTATATTCAACCCCAAAAATACATTTTGTCCACTTTGTCCATTTTGAATGTTGTATTTTTCAATATTCAATACTGAAACCAAAACCTTCAGGTCACATTTGTTTTTCAAATGATCAAAGCTTTTGGCTCCATAGGTGTTATGCTACCAATCACCATCCGTGCCGAATGTCAAGCTCTTAAAGGTAACGTAGTCTGTTTTATGGCGTGACCCATCATTACTGCCATTAAATACATAATGTGAAGGTGAAACTAGAATAATTACTTCTTTAAGGATGAACGATACCAGATGCTATTACAGACTTTAAAGAAAGTGAACACATGTGGTTTAGGTTGATACGTTTCCTACTGAATTTGACTACAGTGCTACCTCTCAAATCTAGCTCTGCAGGCAAAAAAGTGCATTAACAAATATTAAAAATGTATGATGCTGAACAAAATGGGCTGCATTATAGTATAATGTATATCACCAAATATGTGTAATGTCATTTTTCTAACCAGCTGTGGACCTTTTGTTTGTCACAGTAGACAATATTAATAAATCACACGCAAAAACATCTGTATAAAAGCTTACTTTATGAAGCACAGACTAAATATTCAGTAAATATGTTCTTTACATAGTATAAGCATCCTGTCAAAAAACAGTTCCGATATACAAACAAAACAAACTAAAAGACGGATCCAATGCTGACATCAAGGTGCCGAAGTTGTAATTTTTTAAATAAAACATAACAATCAACTATTTACTTTTTCGTTGCCACGATCCTATAGAACAGCACAGGCCTACCCTAAAACATTGGGAACCAATGGTTAGCACAACAGCCAAAGTGACTATACGTCTATCTGTAAGAAAGCAGTTATTCGTCATAACGACACAGCTTTATAAAACCGTACTTCCTCTCTGAAAACACAGCTCCACTTTTGGCATTTTGGTCTGAAGAGGGATCCAGGAGTCCAGCTGTGATTCCAGGTTTCCAGCCAAGTCCCCAAACAGGATCTGAGAACCCGTTTGTCACTATTTATTTGATACAACAAGAGGCGTGAGCCAAAGATGCTGTCGATGTCCACGGCTCTGGTTCTGTTGACGTGAGGGGTCGCTAAGCTCACTGATCTACAGTTGTGTCATATAAGCAAATTACAAAGAAAGAGATATGGTGTGCGTGTGTGTGTGTGGGTTTAGGATCAATTAAGGTGCTCAGAAAGCGGTACCGCCACTCTACCCCCACGTCCAGACGAAACGCAGGTCCTCCCTCCCATGTGTGTCCCCGGATGAGTCTGTTGCCTGTTACTAGCTGGCAGAGAAAACCAAACCAGTCTCTCCTTCTTAAGTCCTGCGGCCACACTCTCCAATCAGCCTGTCTCTTTCTGACGAAGGCCTACTCTCCCCAAAACGTCCTCAAATGGAAGTAAATGTCCAAGACGGGGCTAAGCATGCAGCACGTCCATGTTAACGTGATCTAAACCAGAACTGACAGAGATTTGCTGTGTTAAAAGGTAAAGGTTGTTTGTTTTGTGTTACACAGGATCATTTCTGCCTCTGGGATGAAGATGCTGTGAAGAGCCCCGCCCCTTATTGTGTCGTCTTACTCAGCAGAATGCCTCGGATTGGTTCTCTCAACAAATAGGAAGTCTTCACGGAAAAACAATGACGTCGCTATATTTGCTTCTTCCTGTTGCCTAAAGCTTCGACAACACAACTGCAGCAACTAAAAACCAGCAAGCATTTAATGCACAAGTGACGCCCGCTCATACGGTGACACCTTCCTCCTCTGACCTTTACCTGCACCTTTAGAAGCCTCACACCCAATCACATCTTGACTCTGCCGCGGTGCGGGCGGAGGAGCTTGTGGGGTGTCATTCAGTCACATACCGTCTTCCTCCTCCGTTCGGTTTGGACTCGCTAGAAGGGCGGACGGGGGGGGGGGGGGGGGGCGAATGCGTGTCAGTATTTAGGCTAGCGGCGGATTAAAAATCACAGACTTGTGATCTCTCTGGCTGACTCTGTAATTCCCTCAACAGCTAGAGTCAAGGTGCCCTTGAGTAAGGCACTCAACCTCCAGCTCCTCTGGCGGTGCACAGTCGAAAACACGCTCGCTCCACCCGGCAGCTCCTTCACGCTTACAAATGTACGCCACCGCACCGTCGCCGATTGGCAAACTGCCGGGCGGGGGGCGGGGGGGGAAGAGCGAGCGTGCTCAGTGGAAACCCGCCCCGGGGCAAATAAAGGTGTGGAGAATTAAATAAATAAATAAATATGCTATACATGGCAGGGATCCATCGATCCTTCTGAGAAGTTCTTTTGAGAGTTTTTTTGTAACTCTGGGACAGATATGTTGTCTCGTCACACACCACAACGTAGGTCCATACTCGGCTGTGTGCGCAAACATGTGATGAGGGAGAAAAGAAAAGGCCCAAATGCTACAGTAGTACCATCTCCTTCTGCAGGACGAGGACGGGACAGAGAAGACAGCCACAACCCGTCCCTCCTCTTGGTTCTCCGTCCGGCCCTTTAAACAAATTCATTATTAATCACTCAAAGCTCTGCTCGTAACTAACAACTAATTTAATGTAAAGACAACCACATCGCTCTCATTTCCAAATAATACTGATGATGTCATAAATAGTGATCACAGTTATGATCATTCTTAATGTGCAATGGTTAAAGTTCAAAGGACCGGGGTTAGGCAGGGTCACTTGTTGGGTATCAAGCACGGGCTGTTGGTCCTCTTCATCTATTGCTCAAAGACAGGAACCTATCACCAGGGCAGGTGCATTCTGGGAAGGAGGGACACATTACCCCCGTTTGTTGCTGTAAGTACAACAGGAGGAGCGCGGGGGGCCCACAACACAAAATACTTTAACAGAAAAGGCCCAGAAAGAAGCTGGTTTGGCTTAGAGGGGAGTTGCCCCCCTCAGCTCCTCGGCCCCGGGGCGGTGCATCCAGCGGCCCTCCCGTTCAGCCCGCCCTGAGCCTGACTGATGGACGGCGAGGACTGCGTCTTGCGGATGTGGCACTCGCGGCCGGCCAGGCCCCCCTCCATGATGAGGCCGCCCATCACGCTGGCCTCAATCTTCTCGAGGTCGTCGGTTTCTGCGCGGATTTTGGCCTGCAGGAGGCTGATGTACGTCTCATAGCGAGCCTTCTGCTCGGAGAGAGATGAGCAAGAGGGGGAGGCAAGTGAGATTAAAAGATGATGAAACAAGCGAGTAATTGCCCTTAAGCTCACCTCACTCGACCAGCTTTAGTCATGCTAGCATGAAAATATATTCTGTTTTTGATAGAGGTTCAGTAACAGCTTGGTTGAGGCATTAGAGGGGTTGTATGAGGTACTCATCCATAGATATAGGGGAAGGATGCTGTGGTCAGCGGCAGCAGCGAACTGAAGTTTCCCTCTCAGTTCAGTTTTCTGATAGATATATTTTAAATATAGTTCCACACTGAATTACAATGCTTTCCTCTATTACACTGACTACAATGTTACCTCATACAAACCCACTTCACTATACCCCAAACCATCCCTTCCATATAAGGGGGGAACAGTTGAAAACATAAGCTCCCTCTCTTTCCATTAAAATCATTTTTGAGTTGTGCTTACTGCCCTCTGTGCTATTATAATAAAAAAGGAAATGATATGGTACGTTAAATATTAGAATGCGTATGAAATAAAAACGCAGCAAACAAGCCACTGTGGCCGTCTGTCATGCGTCTTCTTCTCTCAGCTGTAACTTGAAAACACCCATAAACAACACAAAAAAGGAGACAAGCCGAAGCCGTCCTGAGTGTGTACCTCGTACGTGAGGTAGTGCTCTTTGAGCCGGTACTCCTCCGACTCGCGGCTTTTGGGGTCGGCTGAGGGCGAGCTTTTGCGGTGCTCCTCCAGCTCCAGGCTCATCTGCTTCAGCTTGTTCTCGTGACTCAGCAGCTGCTCCTCCTGCACCAATCACAGCCCGGGCAAAAACCAGAAGACCCCCAACACAGCCAATCAGATGCAGGCGGACACAACCCCGTGTAGAGACTTTCAATGCAGAAGGACTGTGCTTGCATGCTTGATAAACCGTTATTCTGTACCAAGCAGAATATCAAGCATGACTACATATTTATTGTAGTTTTTCTCAATAATGTATTCTCCGTGTGTGTACCTGTTTCAGCCTGGTGGATGAAGACGGCAAGATGGGTCGAAAGAATTTCTTCATGGAGCCGATGGCGGCGGGGAACGCCGGAGCGGAGAACAGCGCCGCCACCAGGTTTATCCGGAAGATCCAAGACAACATCTCCTCCTCACTACTGGAGTATGACAGTGAGAGAGGAGAGAGTCAGTGTGTTTACATGATGGTATAATTCAAATCTTTGCTTAGTCGGACTATGCTATCTTTCGGGGGGAGGTGCTATTATCCCAATATACATGGCAGTGAATAAATCGAATCATTGGGCGAAAGTATGTCATATCCGATACGATAGGTGGCGCTGTTTTCATTACAACTAGTTGTGATACAGCCATTTCCGCTTGACCTCTTCACCACTACCAACAACAACCAACAACAACAACAACATCAACATTACGAGAAAGATGGCGAACGGAGAGCAAGGTGAAGCTACGTCCCTCTACTATTTGTGCATGATGCAGTTCCTTATCCGATTCACCGTTACATGCCACAATAGTCGAACTATCAACTGGATCGATCGAGTTATCCAGGGGTGTTAATCGGATCGTAGTCGGGCCGCACATAGTCGGACAAAGGTGTTTACATGAAACGGATCATTCGATTACAGTCCGACTAAGCCAGTTATTTGAATCCATGTAACCACGCTGACTGAGGGGTTGCTGAAGTGAGAATCGATTGATTGATGTCTCTGAGCTCACCACATCTACACAGATTGTTCCACAAGAACTCAACGAGCCGCAGAGAATTAAAGAAAATGAGACAAATACAAACAGACAGCTTCAAATAGTTCATCATCATCAGCACCATCCATCCGTTTTCCTGCAGCAGCTCATCCTGTACAGGACATTGCTACAAGATGGTCAAAGCATAGACGCGTGAAATGGAAAATGCCATCGTATTCCTGTCTGGTTCCCTGTTTTGTCTATTGTGGTGTAAAGAAGTCGACGTGGGGGACTCACGAGGCGTGCAGCAGAAAGACTCTCCAGTCAGAGGTCTTCAGCTTCAGCACGTTGGCTCTCTTGCTGTAGTCGGTGGCCCGAGTGGCTAAAGCGTGGTTGATCCGCACCGCGTTCTTCAGGTCCACCTCTGAAATGTCAGCGTCGGGCTTGTACTCATCCTGGGTGAGGGAAGAAAAAACATGCCGGCCAGCAAATATTGTGGGGCTCATTTATTAGAGCGCGTAAATGTTGTTTCGTTTCAGTCATTCTGTCTCTAAAAATCAAATGGTATTTATCCTGAGGTATTTAGTGTTTGAGGTTTAAGTTGAACATTTCATACGCTTATATGTATTTGGTGCATATTCAGTAATTAGTACATACATTCTAGCAGCAGGGGGAGACAAACACACAGTAGAGCAGCCATGCCTCATTTCCTCTCTTAATGCTCTATCTATCTTACTCCCTCTCCGTTACACACACACACACACACACACACACACACACACAGAGCAGCAAGCAGCATCCGCCACAGCAAAGACAGCAGTGGTGGATGTGTGTTTCTATGGTAACTGGGCGGAGGACGAGATACGGTACCTTCTGGAGATACAAGATCATCCCCTTTAGTACCGCATAGAACTTCTTCCAACCGCGCCGACCCCTCGGGGCTAGAAGAGGGAAAAGGGAAGAAATTAAAAAACTTTTCTGCCATGTTGTTTGACGGTAACGCGTTAGGATGTCTTCCATTGAGGTCAAGTGTGTGCATGTCGGTGTGTGTGTGTGTCTGTGTGTGTGTGTGTGTGTACAATCACTCACTGCGTTTGCCGTCCATGTCAGCGTGGCTCTTGCGGGTCAGCACTCCATGTTTGTAGGTGACAGCATTCAAGAGAATGGGAATGGTGATGAAGGGGTTACTGCCGTCCGTCACCCTGGCAACGCGCTTACTCCCGCCCTCGCACTGCTCCTCCACCAGCTCTGACAGACTCTTCCTCAGCTCCTCCTCCTCACTGCACACACAGATGCCCATTCAGATAAAGCCGAGCAGCACACCGTCAAGTGCGCTTACTTCTACAAAACGTGCATAGCCCAAATACTTTTCCTTTTGATGAACACAAAATGTGTACTCACACTGCCCACTCCAGCTTCTCATTCTTGATGGAGTTATACAAGACCTGCGTGGACAAAGCAATAAAGGAGAAGAAACCGTTAGTGGTTTTCTTCAACTTACAGGGTCAGAAATGTGAAGACATGCTTTAGTTCCGAGGCCCGAAATAGCGATTAAGCTGCCAGATGTTGTGGCGTGTGTACTTTCAAGCGATCTGTACCTTTAATAACTCTTTAGGGTAGTCTTTGCCGTTGTTAAGTCCATCCAGATTACTGATGAACTGTTGGCTAGACATCTTCTTCCCAATGTTCTGAGGAGAGGCAAACAAACGGACACAGCTTTAATGTCATTTCCATTTTTGCGGAGGCCGATTTGTTAATGTGCAGCTCAGCTCGGAGTGTTAGTCGTTGGTTGTGTGACCAAACACCGGGTGGCAGTGTTATGCTGCGGGTTCCACTAGTGACGAGAAGGTTCCACCTCTACCAGAGCTTATGGAGCATCGGCTCACCATACGTTTCCTCATGATTTAATCTCTAATCACGAAGCATCACTAGGGGATGAAACACCAGGAGGCGTTTGTGCATTACCAACCCTTCCAGCCCGGATGAAGCCTGTTACCTAAACAGATGTGGGACTAAAGCTCAACTCACTCACTGCTGTTACAAAACAAAGGTAAAAAAACCAAATGAATCCATGGCTTGTAATTCACATTTTCCATTGAGGAGGCCACGTGGCGGACAAGACAACCGGGCTCCCTTTTCCTAGGAAATGTTCAAAATAGATGTAACGTGCGTCACAGGATGTTTCCTATGCTCCATTTATTCACGATATCCAGCGAATATGTAACACGGTGTAGTCACGACCCAAACGATTGAACTGCTCAGTTCACTAACAACTCATATTTTTATGCAAATACAATACGACACATGCAACATTGTATAAAATCTTATATTATTAAAATGTGTCTTTTCTAAAAATGCAATCAGCTTTATTTAGGGTAATGTGATTTTTCATGCTGCAGATCGCTGGCATTTCTCATTGCCTGTATCAACAATGCATTCATGATGTCTAAACTCGAAAGCAGCTAGTGACCATTTCTCTTTGGTGAACCACGTGTCATGTCTAAAATGAATACATGACAATTTGTGCGTCCTTTATTATGATCCTAAAAGTGACAGCAACATTTAAATCACAAGTCCTGTTGTTATCGGGGGCACAGTCAGGTGTCAAGGAGCACGGGGTTAGTACGATAAATATACTCACCACCTGCGGGGGCGGACAGAGACCAAGGGGCCGCATGTGGTTAGCGGGAGATAGAAGGAGAGGAAAAGGAAATGTGTTTTAGTCGGTTTACTTGAGGAGAGGGACATTCACCGAAAGCACCACGAGCGGCGACGCGAGTCGAGCAGGACGGGCCGAGGGTAAGCGAAGCACAGGGCAGTGCCATGCTGCGCCGACCACGCTGCCCCAGTTCACAACTGAACAGACGAGGCCGCTCGAGGAGAGGACGGACAGAAACGGGTCAGAATGTAGGCCGCCGCGGAGCGGAAAGAGAGCGCGAGAGAAGGGCGCAGAGCCAACGGAGAACAGGGGCGATGATGCGAGTGGAGGCGTGCCAATGCTGACGAAGAACCGTCTTAATACTTTGTTTCCCTCAGAGGGGCCAGAGGAGAGGCCGTCCCGAAGTAGGACGGAGAACTGGAGTACATACATGTCCGTGCAGATCGGTGTTGAGCAGCATGAGGGCGCAGGTTAACGTGTGGGCTCCATCTGCAACGGGGTGACACACAAGGTCGAGGTCAGCTAAATGCCATGCACTCCTTTTAGTTTATGCACACACGAATCTCACACACACACATCTGCACAGCTGCATAAATAGCCTGCACGCTACAACAATGTCATCAGTATTTCTGTGCAGTGTGAACATGCGGCATTAAATGGCTATTTGTACAACATCGGCATCAATCCGCAGAAATACCATAGTTTTGCCAAATCGATTCAGTGTTGTGAGGTTTTGTACAGTTATTTGATGCCTCATGTCGCCCCTCGTACCGTCGTGGTCATCGCCGTGGTCATCGCCGTGGTCATCGCCGTGGTCATCGCCGTGGTCATCGCCGTGGTGATCGCGGCTCTGGCCCTCGGTGTTGAGCGTCCGCGGGTTGCAGTGGCAGAAGCGTCGGGAGAAATGCACAAGGATCCTCTCTCTCTCCTGGGTCTCTCCCATTAGGGGGAAGGCCTTCAAGAAGCTCCTGTCGCACACCAAACACGCCACAAGGTCAAAGGGAGGTCAGATGGAACAGTAGCAGGATTTCATCACTTCTGGCAGCGTATAGACTTTGTGGCCAAAGGCCGCTGACCGCTCCGTAGGCGACCGAATCAAACATTTTCGTTTGAGAAGAACTGGAACAGTCAAATCTGCTTTTCTAGACAAAAGTGCTCCCATTTTTACATGAGAATGAATTCATTCAGTCTGACTTATGCTTTCTTATGGCACCATGACTCGGACTGATGCTGAAACCTGTCCCTGCCTTTATTTCCCCACTCTGCTCATCGACACAATTGTTACGGGCAGGTGGGGAAGATCCGCCAGGTGAGGTGACGGAGAAGGTGAACGACGTCACCGCGGTAACTGTGAACTCTTACATTGGATGTTGACAGTTGGTTTGTTTACAGTGAGGCTGAATCTGTCCGTATGGAATAAACAACAAATGGATAAAGCTGTGTCCACTGCAGACACTTTATGAAAACCAAGGCTGGAGCTGGTGATGTAGAAACCAGCAATACCAGCTGAGAGCCGACAGCTCTGATTAAATATTAAGCAAAAAGAGAGTTGGTTCACATCTTTAACAATTCAAATGAACTGATAGTTATGGTTCACTACTAAAAGTACCAATACTACTTCTGGTTTGGCTGTTAATGTTATACAAGTGAAAACTAACGTGTGATATGGACTAAATTTAAACAGTAATTATGCCTCTCACATTACATTGTCACAACACTCGACTATATGCGTGCCTTCAAGTCGTTTGTACTCATGCGTCACAGTTTCCTTCTCCCTTCTTATTTGATTGAATAGCTCATTTATGAAGGGAAGTGGCGTACGCCTCTTTCAAGCCGCGTTTTGTTCCTAGCGGTTAGAAATGAGACCCCTGATGAGGAAAGTCATAAACTGTTCTGGCATCTGAGATTCAAAAGGGAAATCAATTGAGATTGGGATTTAAGCAATAGAGCACATCTAGTGGTAGAAATTACAATACATGTAGTAATGTTTAGTTTTTGTGTGATGTTAGATAGTAGTTATTACATTGGCATGTTAGATAAAGTGAATGCAATATAATCAAAGCACACTTTATAGTGCTAATTGCTGTCCTTTATGGATTTCTCCCAATTTTTGGGGGAGTTTTTTCTCCTGTCAGGTAGTAGATGAGCAACTGGATGCAAGACAGCCGATTGAGGCAAATATCTTGAGTATTGGACCACATGAACTGTGTTGAACCTTATGATGAAGTGTGATCATTTATGTTGTGTTGTAATTAAAGTGTACTAGTTCCACGATGAAGACAAACTATGCATGCTATGTTATATTCACTCATTGAGGCATAAATCCATATGTATCTACATTGAATGTGTTGGAATCTGAGCGAAAGATGAGACAAAGAAGGTCTCCGGTTACAGCAGCAGATTCACACCTGGATGTGAAGGGGACAGACAAGGAGGAGACACGTTCGGAGAAGGAGAAGCCAATGACATTCAACTTGGTCTGAGAATTCTCTATTTCGCATTGTATTTCACTTTGTAATTGTATTCCTTAGCACTTTGTTTAGTTATTAAATACTTTTTGATTTTTAATTTTGCCAGTTGACTCTTTTGATTCATCGTTTCCGGCCGGGACGAGAACAAAGGAGTGCGACCTCCCTCGAGGGGCCCAAACGAACCCCCTAACAGTATACAGGCCTTTTACATTGCTAATCTGGCCCAGTCAGAAGTGCACACATGAGGCCGAAGGCAGCAGTTTGAGACAACAAGGTGTCAGGTAGAAAGCACTGATGGACTCCACCGCTGTCAGCTGCACGACGGCTCGATCGGCACGAAGTTAACGCCTTGTGACTGTGTGCGCCCCTGCGTCGCACACTCCCCCCCCCCCCAAGTGCTGACGGTGCGTTACCTTAGGGCTCGGTCCAGCGACAGGCCGGAGAAATTGAAGAAGCTCAGGTACTCCGACGCCACCAGCTGGCTGAACTCGTTGCTGGGAGGAGACGGGAGGAGAGTCAACGTGGCACAGAAGCAGTACAGACGTGGGGGGGGGGCTGCTCCTCTAGCAACGTCGTATTAAGAGTGTTTGTATACGAGTCCTTCTCAAATGTGCATCCATCACGTGTGCGCACATGTGCTACTGTGTGTGTGTGTGTGTGTGTGTGTGAGTGTTAGTCTGTGTTTGCCGGCTCACTTCTTGCCCAGGTGTCTGGCCACATCGCAGCGCTTGAAGCCCTCGAGGTGATACAGGCGCTTCGCCAGCCTCTTGGCGGCCTCCATGTCGGCTCGGCAGCCATTGGCCAGCGTGTCGGTGCTGCCGCGCTCACAGCGCTCCAGACTGCCCAAATCGCACTCCTCCGAGTCAGACGGCACGTCTGTGAGGTTGGCATCGCTGTTGGAGAGAGCATACACAAACACACACACACACACACAAGCAGGTGGCCAGGTTAATGAATGGAGCACATGAGCACTGTTGCATCGCCACGTCGCTTGAAATCAGACGGAGGAAATGAAAAACTCAATTAGACATCTGCGCATGTGAACAGAAGCAAAAGTCAAATGAGGTTTAAAGGACTTCAGGTCTTAAATGCATTATGATGAAATCGATCGTAATGCCAAAGCAGCTTTCACGTGTCCCAATCCCTTCTAAGAGAGCTCCACCAATCGCAGTGTTGACCTCAAACATGACCTCTGGCAGGAGGTTGCGGTCCATCGGGACCAAGACCTCTCGCCTCAGAAACAGTTCTTTCCCGTCAGCAGTTGGTCTCTTGAACCAAGTCGGTGTCGCCCAAATACTTCATCCCCGGAACATTTTCACAGTGGTTTCTCTCACCATGGAAACACATGGACATACATATGTGTTTTTATATGTTTATATGTGCTTCTTATCTATTTATATTACTGTACTTTATTGTTATATTGCAAGACAAATTCCTCTATGTGTAACATATGTGGCAATAAATGGCTTCAGATTCTGATTCTGATTTGAATGAATGTGCTGTAATATTCAAACCAAAAGCTCTTCTCTACTCTTCTTTTTCATCAGCCCAGGAAAGCCATAAACCGTTATGGAATCTGAGATTCAAATAGTAAATGAATGCAGGACCTTTAGGTTGCTAATCTTGGAGACTGGATGAAGTTCCTTTTCTGCAAGAGTATTTCAAGTTAAGGAAAACATCTGATGAGCGTTCAAACAGTCAAGTCACAAAGAGTGAACAGGTAGCTTTCATTGTCAAGTAATGGCATGTTCTTAAAAACCATGTTTCCTATTTGAAGCTAAAATCCTTTGCCAGGATTCACTTCGACGTCATGGAACAGTATCGGCTCAAATTGAAGTGTTGAAACGTTAAAACACCTGAGCCAAAATGTAAATTCTCCCTCGTACAGGCAATAACAGCAGAGCCAACTAACAGCCGGCTTCACATTAAGGCCGTCGCTGCCGACCAGGAAGCGTGTTGCTCAGGGACTCGGCTCGTACAACTGTTCGCACCGTCACGAGAGCAGGGAGAGATTCTGTCGCTAATCAAAGACCTACCTATTTATTTCTCACCTTACTGAGGTAGTGTATTCAAAACACTGAGTTTGCTCCACTGTACTGCATTGCGCTGTGTACTTTGTTAAACTCCACACACACACACACACACACACAATCCCCACATCAGTGAGGAGCTAATTATCTCTTTTTAATTTTAGGGGCAAATATAAATCTGAATCTATACTTTAACCAATAAAAATCAGCCCAAAAAACTTAAATCTAGAAAAAGGGGGACTGGAAACACTCATCTCCATGAATGGCATCTCCTCATTTCCTGTCGGTGTGTGCGTGGCCCCGTCAGCGTTCCCTGCAGACGATTCAGATGTTTTTTGCATAATCTGATCAACCCAATTGCATTATCCTCACAAATTCAATACACAACGCGCTCATGTCGTAAGGGATTTGCTGGTTGCCACGGTTACTGCGGAAGCCGAATGTCCTGTGCTAGTAACGGGATTGAGGACCATCCTACGGCTTTCTACCACGAGCGTGTGTTGTGTGCGAACAAGGGGAATACACTGAGTGACACAAAAGACACGTAAACACAAACAACAAGCAGTCCGCTGGCCTCGCACGCTGGAAGGCTGACTGCATCCCAAGCGAGGTCACACTGATTCATTAGACCGGTAGTATCACTCATCTGGCCTCTGACCGTAGACCACTTTGCACCGGGGGACACCACAAGGAGCCCTGGCCCCCCGACAACACCAGCTCCCAGGGTCACACAAGCCTTCCGCCAGGACGAGGCGGGTCAAGCAAACTGGCCCACTGTATCTCGGCGGAGCATCGCTGCCAAGCATGACAACGAGATGGCAGATACAGTCGGATGGGAGCGGCTTCATTTGAAGTGTGGCCGGGCCCCCCCGCTTAGGGACAGGGTGGGGCGTCTGTGTGTCTAGGAGGAGTAAAACCCATTTTGGAAGGAGCCGGTCGAGGTGGTTTGGCCATCTGATTACAATGCTTCCTGTACGGCTCCCTCAGGAGGGTTTCAGGGGACCTCCGAGTCTTCCCAAAGGCCTAAATAGCCCACCTAGCCTGAGAAAGTCACAGGCATCGACCCCCCCTCCCCTCTCCTCCCCTTCCTCCCCCTGCCATTTCTGAAATGGATGGGCAGAAAAAAAATAAAGGCATGAAGATAAAAAGATGTACACACAGACTCACAAATATTGACAACATAAAAATGAGTCCGGAGTAAGACGTCAAAACAATATCCAGCCTGGTGCTCGCAATGAAATTGCTTTGGCTCGTCTGGCCGTATTAATTCACTGGATGCAGAGAGACCTCATACATCATTCAAAGCTCATTTCAGTCATGGGGTCAAAACGATGACGGGCTCCCCCAATTCACTGGCACACACGCGCACACACACACACACACAGAGAATAAAAGGTGAGAGAGACGCTACGTGAAGTGTCACATATCTATGCAGACCTTTTGCTCCGGGATACTTGGCGTCATCGGGGGCCAAGTGGCACACAGTAAACCTATTTGTCCACCTAAAAAGGCACAAATCTGTTTCCCCAGGCTGCATATTCATCCTGTGTGAACGCCGCACAGGATGACTGTGTCGGAGAAAGAGAGCATGACGGTGCACGCCAGTGACTCACATGCTAATCTCTTGTGCACCGCCCAAACCCACACCCAGAGATGTGTCTGCGTGTAAGGTGTGCGTGTTTGAGGGGGAGGAGGCGGGGGCATCTTTTTGCGGGGGCATCCATGAGGGTGTAATCTATTATGGGGAAAAACTGGAGTATGAAAGTCCACAGAGGACTTTTCGATCTTAACGTTCTGAACTTAACGTTCAAGGAACACACACATATTGTGTTTGTTGTTGCGTGTGTGTTAGTCAGGTCATCTAGGGGTTGTTGATATGATTTCAGCAAAACAGGCTGTTGCAATATTGCAAACAAAGACACCTCCGATGACAAAGCATGAGACAGTGTGACATCCATACACAGCACTGGACAATTTGGTTTTTCACACTGATATTCACACTTTAGGATTATCAACTGAGGCCGTGCACAGTAACAAGTTGCTGTTTGTTACAGCTCAAACTAGAAATCAGACTTTCACACAACAGTGTAAAGCAAATAGGCATCCTTCAAGTGAATGGTGGCTACAGATATTTATTTAATAACTCAGTTAGAGCAGAAACTGTTTTTTTAAGCGATTAATAATTCCAGCCTCTTATATTTGTCATGCTGTTCTTCATTTACTTCCCCCCTTATCCTCACCATCACCTTGTATCCATAGCAACGTCACAAACCCCATATCTCTTGCTTTATATTTCAAATGATAATTCCTGGTGAATATAAAATGTTAATTTATGGTAAACTCAAAAAAAATGTAGAAATCCTCCACATTCATTAGCAGGCACTTAAAGCCCCTGAAGGAACACCATGTGAGATTAAAAAAATAATAATTAAAAACGTTTCAATCCTTTTATTGCCAATGTTGGTGTCATAGAAAAGTCCCCACATGAATACAATAACGCAGTGGTGATGTGACACATTTTGCCACGCAGCATAATGCAAACGTTCCCACCCATTTGGACTTTACGACTTGAATCTTCTAGCAACATCAAACTTACAGCAGTTGCAGCAGAAAGTCGAAGTGAACATCGTATTCCTCCTTCCACATCGTCCCTGGGAAAGGTGTAAATCAGCGGTTAACGGCGCGCGGAGGTCCGACCGCCTCATCGTCCGGTCCTCGGTGGGATCCGCATCGGCCCGGGTCGCTTATTCGACTCCTGATCCTGATTTCTTCAAAGCGGAAGTCTGCTCATAGATAATTACAGCTTATTCGGGGCGATGCAGTCGACCGTAGCGTTGCTTCACCGCCATAGTGTCAACACACGAGGAATGTGTGTTGTTTAAGGGCTTTTCCCCCCTGAAGTTTGTTGGCTCGGCTGGAGGCTCCGCGGAGGAGAGGATGTTGGGGGCGGAGCCAACGGCCGGAGCGTCTTTTCCTGATGAGTTAACGCCGTTCCTAGTGGGGGCGGGACAATGGCCTTCTGCGTGCGCGTGTGTCTGTGTGTGTGTGCGTGTGTGTGTGTCCCGGCCAGCACGACTTCCTCTCAGCAGATCTCAGTTCGATATTGTCCTCTATTGGGACTCGCTTGTGAGGTTATTTCGGTACATTCCTCGAGTGGATCGCGTCAATATGGCTCAGAGATGCCACGTGGGGGAACAAAGTGGGGAACTCACCAAAGTAAAATACTTGGGGATGTAAAATGAGGATGGCAGATTATGTGCTGAGCTGAAACACCGTGACGTCTTTGGTCAAAAAGGCATAAATGTACTTGATCAAGGTCACTGACTGGAAGCGCGTGCATACCTTTTAATCACCTGTAAATAATGAGTAACACCAGAGTACGCAGACACACACAATATTCTCCCAACGCACACAGATTTTAATAAGACACACTGACACATCCCTGCATGCTAGCCTGTCCGTCTAAATCCCCTCTTCCTCTTTCTCGTCTGGTGGAAAGAAGAACAATAGAAAAATCAGAGAACAGAGAGGCAGCTGTGAGGTCAAAAGTACAACATTTGGGGGATGAGATGGAAGATGCGAATAGAGACAAAACTCTGGAGGAAGCTAGATTTGGACAGACGAGCCCTCCACAAGATTCACTTCAACCGGGTTCTGCACATTATCAGGCACAGACAACAATGTGTACGTTTCCCTGACGACCCCAATGAAGCTGAAGGACACTCAGCGCTTGGACCAAGCGCACCCTGGTGAACACTAATCACGCAGCAGTTTTTTGTGCAGCTAACAGCTAGGACTCATGGATACATGTTGTCATTTCCACACCATAGAACAGAGTTTATTAACCTATTGCAGCCCAGATG